AGCGGGCACATGTCGAGCAGCAGACTTTGGTGTTGGCTGCTTCAGTCGACCACACAACACATTTCCAGACCTCGGGAAGAATCTCGTTTTTTGTTTTTCCTCTTTGAAACTAAAAATGAGTTCTTTTTTTTTTCTTCTTTTTTTTTTAATGTGGGCCACATGCACACACATCCACAGGCCTCACATTTCTGCCTGAAATAGCAACCCTGTTACACCAGCGCCTCCCGGAGGGTTTGTTATTGAAGAGTGGCACTATTCTGAAGTAGTCAAAACTAATGGGGTAACTAAATCTGTTCCTGCCCTCAGCTGCAGCCAGACCACCACAGGCCCGCTCTTGGCACCTCAGTCTGGGCCGCTGCCGCTGCCTAACTGTTTTTCCCTGGGACTCGAACACACAGGGCGCAGCTCTCGGTCCCTCCACCGGGCTGTGCTTTTCTTTCCAGGCCTCCGTTCCCTCGCAGGGAACCGCAGGAGTGTAAACGCTGCACCTGAGGGTCTGGACTTCCTGCACGCCTTAGCGAGCACATGTTGTGTCTCCCAGCTCACTGTGACCATGTGTGTTTGGGTTAGTGTAGGCGAATGGGAGCACAGGTGTCAGTACGGTCCTGTGCTCCAGGAACAAGGAGGCTAATGTGAGCGTGGCCGGAGGGGCCCTGAACTGCACCTTACATCATTTCCTGTGCAGCCACAGTGCGGGCTGAGGGCTGGGCTCCACTTCCTCCCACCGCCTTCAGCTGAATGAAGCCCTTTTTTTAACAGTCGCACATGTGAACGCCACTGGCCTCGGTGTGAAGCCCACTCTGTGGCCCAGTGTTGCTGCACAGTATCATTAAAGGAAAAAAATCTTTATTGACTTTAAAATAGAGAACTTTACATCCTTACGTCTTTAACAGTCTCTCTCTCTCTCCCTCCCTTCCCCCTTCTCGCTTCATGTCCTGCCTCCCACCCACATCCAGCTGCCAGATGGTCGTGTGATCAAGGTGGGAGGAGAGCGCTTTGAGGCCCCCGAGGCTCTGTTCCAGCCGCACCTCATCAACGTGGAAGGTGTGGGAGTGGCCGAGCTGCTCTTCAACACCATCCAGGCGGCCGACATCGACACCAGGTGAGAACATGGCTGTGGCTTTCACCGCAGACCAGTTTGGTCCACTTTAAACAGACCAGGGTTCTCCTCATCTGTTGGTCTGGTTTGAAAGTTCATTCAAACTCTGGTGCAGAACAAACGGGTCTGGCAAAAAGAATAGTTCTGGTTTACTTGCTAGTTAAGTTGGACATGGAGATTATTAGGACTGTAAGAAAATATTGATAAACTAAAATATCACGATGGTTCGTTTCCTGATACCATATCAATCTCCTCCTTCATCAATGTATTGATTGTTTTTTTTCTCACCAATGCCCAGTCCAATATTCCTGGTGTTGGTTCTTTTTCTTTTTCTTTTCTTTCTTCTCTAGTGATTCCAAATGTAGATCCCTCTGTGCCAGTGTTAGGAACACAGTGGTGTCAAACATACGGCCCGCGGGCCATGAGTTTGACATCCCTGATGGAACAGCACTGTGTGTTTACTATGATGATACTTTGACAGTTACATTGGGGGGAAAAAATTGACTACAGTTACATTGGGGGGAAAAAATAAACCTCAGTATATCGCTGTGACTGTAGTCTTGCAGTATATCGTATCGTTGCCTCTGTGTCGTGATACGTATCGTGTCGCCAGATTCTTGCCCTAGAAATGATGAATTCATTGAACCTTGAAGAGGAAATGAACCATAATGACATAGAACACCACACATTTCATGTAAATAACAGAACCTTCTGTGAAGCTCCAGACCTTGACATGAACTTTCACTTTATCTTATCACATGTTGCTGAATCTTTTTCCCTGTTCACACCCTGGATCTGTGCTCGACTCCTCAGGACCGAGTTCTACAAACACATCGTGTTGTCCGGAGGATCCACCATGTATCCTGGTCTGCCTTCCCGGCTGGAGAGGGAACTGAAGCAGCTGTACCTGGAGCGTGTGCTGAAGGGAGACGTGGACAAGCTATCGGTAAGTAGATCGGGCCCTCGGCTCCTCCTTTGACCCCGCGACCTACGTCAGAGCTGCTCGGACGTCCTCTGAGTCAAAACGTGCTGTAAACTCAGACACGAACAATGGATAGAAGCAGAGTGTTTTTTTCACAGATGAAACAAAAGCAGTTCTTACAGCGCCGAGCCTCTCGGTGGGTGTGAAATAATATTTCTCACTTATTCTCCGTCCGTTTGACGAGGTTCGGGTGGAGTTTCCCCAAACGTGAGAACGGTTTCAGAAGTCACAGGTTACAGGGAGTGTGTTTAGAAACTAGGACTTGAGTCAACGGTCAGTGTTTCCTCTGTAACATCTTCACACACATGGGTTTTAACTGGGGTAAAAAAAAATTATATTTAAACCATCTTTAATTCCCTTTTTTTAATTATTATTCTTTGACTTTTCGCCTTGTGCAGTATGCATGAGAAAAAAAATATTCTTTGACTTTTCTTTGTGCAGTATGCATGAACAGCCACCAGGTGGTGCCGTAGGCTGCAGGACCCTAACATCACCTGATCGTCGGTGCTTTTTTTATCTTAACTGCCTCATTGGGATTCAGACCCAACAGATACATACGTTGTTCAAGTTCATAACATCCGTGTGAATCACGTTTCCTTTTATTTGGCCTCGAGACTCGGATGGAAAATAAAAAAAACAATGTTTTCGTTTGGTATAAACTGATCTGTGTCCCAGGAACATCACGCTGGTAGCCTCTCAGCATTATTCTGCAGGAGTGTTGACTTTCTATGAATATTCTAGTTCAAGTTCATGGAGAGTTAGGTCTGAGTCACAGTGACTGATCGTCATTAATCTGTTCAAACATACGGTTTCACGGATGAAGGCCAGTCAGAGTCTGTTAACTGTGTCAACATTCAGGAGGATTTTTATTATTTGAAAAAAAGAAAAAAGTTTAGCCGTGAATAATAAACCTACAAGAACAAACAGGAAAAGAAAGAAGAAATAATTGTATTAAATATTTAGAGAGAGATTCTTGAAGCGATTTTAGTCGATCTTTTAAATAAGTTCATAACATTTTTTTAAATTTTCATTTATCTAATATGAACTATCAAACACACATACTGGTTTTGGTTTTTGTTAAGCATCTCACATTGATTAAATATCGCAATATTCCGTTTCACGATAAATCAATATCCTCCATCAGTGTATTTATTTTTTGATATTCAGATGGAACAGCATTGATTCTTTACACTTTGACTATAGTTACGTTGGTGGAAAAAAAAAACCTCAATATATTGTCGTGCCATAGTATCGCAATATATTGCTATATTTATTGTATCGGTGCCCTGTATCGTGATACGTATCGTATCGACAGATTCTTGCCAATACACAGCCCTAGCCTTGACTTAATTAAACTGTTCCAAATGTATCCTATTCCTGACTTAATCCCATCCTAATTGGTCAGTTCCATTCCCCTAGAGAGCAGAGTCCTGGGTTCGATTCCCAGAGGAACCATATAATAATACAATAATACAATGCTTTCCCAAATATGGGGTAAATATAGCACAAATTTAATTACTTTTTATTTTTAATCCATGCCCCAATCCAGATGTTTAAGACACTCCTGCAAAATGTCCCAGCGGAGGACGAATTGTCCAAAAGACAAGTGTTTGTCAAAGTGTGCCTATACCAGAAGAGAGCACCCCCCCCCTCTCCCCCTCTCCCCCTCACCCTGTCGGCACAAAAAAAAAGCTGCGAATCACATCCGATTCGAGGGAAACCCAAACAATGGCTGACTTTGAGTCAACAGGACCCGGGCCGGGGGTCGTTTCCTGTGGTTCAGGATCTGCTCACATCAGTCTCCTCTTTGTCTCCTCTCCGTGTAGAAATTCAAGATCCGTATCGAGGATCCACCCAGGCGAAAGCACATGGTGTTCCTGGGCGGGGCCGTGCTGGCCGACATCATGAAGGACAAGGACAACTTCTGGCTGACCCGGGAGGAGTACCAGGAGAAGGGAGTCCGAGTGCTGGAAAAACTCGGGGTCACCGTCAGATAAAAAGCTCTGAACGGACACAACCGCACACTCACACACACAGAGAAACACACACACACACACACACACGCAGGCATACAGGACACACGCACACACACCCCCTCCCCCCGCCCCCCCACATCCCCCCCCCACTCCCTGAACACCGCAGAGTAAAATCTATTGATCTTCATCTTTTCTTTTTTCCTCCTGGCTCTCGTTCCTCTTCGCGCTCTTTCACACCGGCACGGTTCTGGTTCCGGAAACCAAAATTCCAGCCCACCTGCTGCGGGTCTCACTCGAGAACCAAGGTTACGGGTTCAAAGACAAGCGTTTGACAGATTTGTCTGAGTCGCTGCGTCACGTGGTGAAGAATTTAAAAAAAAAAAAACGGTTTGAAACTCCCCTGTAGAAACGTGTGGTTCTGGCCGGTTCTAAAGGTCATTGTTGTTGTTGTTGTGGTTCCCCTGCAGAACCTTAGGTGATAGTGTTCTCCAGCTGAGCTGTTGACAAACGGACGCAGGGGGGCGGCGACGCGGACGCACGAGTTAGAGAACCAAAGTTCTGAACGGAACCAGAGCTGAAACCAGGTACTTAGCCGTGTGAAAGAGCCGAAGGAGAGAACCCCACAGCCGTCACCTCCTCCTCCTCCTCCTCTTCCTCATTCCTCTCTTGGCATCTCTTCGCTCCTGCTCTGGAGTTGGCTCCTGCTTCTTTCTGGGTTTTCTTTTTTTTTTTTTTTTTAAATTCATAATCAAGAGGGTAACTATTCTCCCCACTGGTGCATCTCGGACCCAGGTTTGTCCCGTACAGATGCAGAAGGAACCAGTCTGAGGAACGTTGAAGCTGCATGATGTGAATCACAGCCATTCAGTTTTTTTTTATTCTTAATTTAATGTTCTGAGCGGATTTGAAGGTAAATAAAACAACATTCAGGGTCCAGAACCAAACAGCCACGCACCACTTCCTCTGCTCCTCACCTCCTGCGGGTGAGACAGAACCCGTCGCACCTCTGTGTGAGATTTTCTTTTTTTTTTTTTTTTAAATAACATCTGACTTTTTTTTTTTCTTCTTATTGGTGTGAATGAATTCTGAGCTCATTTGTATCTTAATTCCTTTGGTTTTCACCTCCTCCCCCACCTCCTCCTCCTCCTCCTCCTCCTCCTGCCTCTGGCTGTGCACTACTACCATTGTGAATGGGCTGTTTGGTGGTGAAGAGAAGTTCCTCCATGTTTTTATGAAGAATTGACGGTTGATGCGATGACTAAAGGGACAAACGGTGCAGCGCTTGGACGGTGGTCGGGCGAGGGTACTGCAGGGGTGGGGGTCTCCTCGGCTACCCCACCCCCCCCGTCCCTCCTCTCCTCCGGCCTCTGGATGTAAACCTCTGATCTGAGAGAGCAGCTGTAGCCCTGTTGAAATCAGGCTGACGTTCCTCGACCGTCACCTTCCTCCTGATCAACTGACACCGGTGGATGGCGGGGTGGTATTGGGGGGGGGGCAGTCACAGGCTGACGGACGAGATTTGATTGGTTTAAAGAAGAGAAAATGTGGGAAAATAAAACGGTATATATTTGGGGTTTTTTCTTTCTTTTTTTGTTGAAGTTGAAATGCTGTGGAGATCACGGTTTTCATTGGTTTTCCAGTCTTTTCTGCCCCCCCCCGACCCCCGACGGTCGACATATCGATGACAGGAGGCACTTCTATTTTGTCTATGATAAATATGTATATTTTTTTTTCCTCCTTTTTCCATGAACGTCTCTCTATCCAGTGCCAAGTGCAGTTAATATTAACTGGATCTCACATCTTTTAATGTCTTTTCTTTTGTCACCGTTTTTGTTTTTATTTTCCTGTGTTGTTCATAGCATAACTGCCTAACGCTGATTTAAATAAAGAAAAGTGATTTATAAGGACCGTGGTCTGGACCGCACTTTGTTCTACACACACAGCTGGGAATCATGGGAAAAAACCAACGACGGTTCTGGTGTAAAAAAAAAAATCCCCGCGTCATCTGTGAAGTTGGAGATCGTTTCCCTGAAAAGTCAAAAAGTCGCCTTCAAGAAATACTACCACCAAACAGTGAGATACTACATCAGTGGTGCCCAACAAGTGGATCGGGGTCCACCGGTGGATCGCGGAGTGAGTGCTGGTAGATCATGAGCAAATAAAAAAATAAAATACATATAAATATAATTCTGTAGTGTGTAGTAGGGACCATATATCGTAAGAATTGAATCAGCACCTCAACATATAATTTATATAAATTAAAATAAAATACATATAAATATAATTCTATAATTCTATAGTGTGTAGTAGTAGTGTGTAGTATATATCGTAAGAATTGAATCAGCACATCAACATATAATTTATATAAATGTATATATTTATATAAAGTATGTTCATTTTATATTTATATACACATTTATATATATTATATATTGATATATATTTACCAAGATGGCGTCTCATCAAAATGAGGTTTGACCTCAACATGTGATGATGCATGAATGTTAAATAAGGAAGTGACTTAAACTAACTTTGCCGATATCGGATATGCCGATGTTGTCCAAACACTTCTGATTTCTGATTCCGATATCAAGCGATAATGATATGTGCAGCCGTTTAGGTTAAACGCGGAGGACACACACGTGTGCAGTGGAGTGCTGTGTCACAATGATGATACAGATAATAGTTTCACTTTCACTTTAAAACTATTTTAAGTTTCATCTGGGCCAAACCCGGGCGTTGCGTTATCAGGTTTTCATTGTCAGAGGAAAAAACAATAATGATAATCCAATAATCCGATAATATTGGTTGATACTTTCGGACTTTCCTAATGTTAAACCTCGAAATATCTGATAATAACGACATGAAATTGTGTTAAACAAACCGTGAAGACAATAACTATGATCGACAGACAGATGAACTTTATTGATCCCATGCTGAGAAACTACATTCTGATCAGGACAAGGATGGAGGGAGGAGTAGATGGATGTCCAAAGGAGATGAGGAGGAGGAGGAGGAGGAGGAAGAGGAGGACAGCAGCTGTGCTCTGAGCAGAAAGAGGAAGAGGAAATGGAACAGTGGCGCTGGTGGTGGCGCCACCAGAGGAAGAGGCTCTGTTTCCGTGCCTGAAATAAAGATCTCTCCCAGACTCTTCCGGGCCCCGTTCCATTTTAATCCCCGGACTCCGGACACTTCCCTCTCGACCATGACCTGTTATGATGTCCAGCTCCTCAGCGTCTCCGCTCAGACGACAGGGACAACGGCAGACGAGGGAGGACGTCTATTCAAGGACTGAAGTGGAGATTTGTTTAATCAGACAGATGTAGCCCCGCGGCTCCAGATTATTGTTAGCCTTCGCAAGATTAAGATTAAAAGATTAAAAACAATGTGGCCTTTGTAGAAAATCAAGTTCTTTTGCCGCGGCTAACTGTTAAATGTCATTTACGAGCTAGCTTCTTTACCTAAGCGGTATTAGCTTCTTGATAGCTTTCAGAATTGTTTAGCTTCTTTTTTCTCTCACTCTCGAACTGTAAACTCCATACAGGAAGTGAAGTCCAGACTGACGGGCTTGAACTTGTGGGATTTGTGCTGTAAGGCAACACCACTAACCACTCCTCCACTGTGCGGCCCACCTCTGGTATGCTAATGTTAGCTAACATGTTGCCACCATCTGCAGTCAGTTCTAATATTTGTGCTACTTCCTGTCGTCTCCTGGACTCCACTTCCTGTTTTCCATCCTCTGTTTTTCATTGGCTGTCGGCAGCGTGCGTCTGTAGTTCAGTGTGAATCTGTGTCCAGATTCAACATAAGTTTCGGGTCAGGTCAGGTCAGGTCAGGTCGGGTCGGGTCGGGTCCCCTCTCAGACTAACTGGTCCGGCCCACTGTCCTCAAATCCTGCAGACTTTGTCCAACCGGGAATCATGGGTAAAATCTTGGGTTAACATGGATGTAGGAGGTGTAACTGGCCCCATCTTTGCCTCCACTGGACCACAGCGCTGCTGCTGCTGCTGCGGGACACGAAACCTCCCATTCCTGTAAATTGCAGAAGGAAGTGAGCGCCGGTGCGTGGACCCACAGAGGGGCCGCGCTGACCCCATTACACAAGCAGATATCTTAAATGTTTGCACATGTGGACTGTGATGCTGTTTGCAGCC